AAAAATTAAAAAACCGAGTTATTCGAAATTTTAAAAATCAACATTTAAAAAAAACCGACACTGGTAAAGCAGAAACCCCGGATTTAAAACCGAGTCGATCACCCTACTAACTACATTATTCATAACAATTTATCAAAGGTTTATTAAACAAATTTTTGTATGAAAAATTGTCTTATGAGTTTTATTGTTACCACCAATATTTTACTATTAAAAGTGATATTTAGAATAGACCCATATTTGTGTTAGGGAACAATTATATTAGCAATTATATAACACAATAACTAATATTAAAATTGGCCTGTAAGGAGGCTTTTAGATTACATTCAATAAATAAAATAAACATATTATATGAATCTGTTCCGGTGGATCTGAACACAATATTAGTGGATCAGATATGAACAATTGGTGAGAATTTTTTTTTTAGATTTTAAAATATCTTCAGCGCCCAAAATTTTATAAACGATTTCACATAAATACAATATCAGGTGCTTTAGTTTCGTAAACTAGTGTAACTCCATTTGTCCTTTTTCGATTTGCACGATTTTCCATAGAAAATTTTTTGGAATTCGATTTACACGATTTTTCTGGAACTTATCTATCGTGTTGAGAAATAGTTTTTAACTAAAATATAGAAAATTTAATTGTGAACAGAAATGTAGTTGCATCTTTGTAAAAAAACAAGAGTTTTGTAACATTTGACCCCCAATTTATCGCCTAGCGTACAAGATATTAATTGTGACTTTTAGCCACTAAATTTAAACCCTGTACCAACTTTCCTTGGGATCATAATTATTTACCATGGATTTTTTAAATATTATATTAGTAAACTTTTTATTCTTCGGATAGGTGTACATATTTTACTTCAAAGAAGGATTTCAAGTAATAATTTTTCTTAATTAGTATACATATGTATTTACTGTGATAAAATTTAGAAAAATTAAATTTCTTTCTGAAAGAAAGACCACCAATTGGATGAAATACTATATAGTAGGTACTTAATTATCTATTAAAAAGTTTAATATTTGCTATGATTATAGCAATTTATTAATGTAAGCCAAGAAGAACCGCACAACATTTATGATAAATTGACAACAATTTTGCATAAGAATAGAACAACCCAAGTTCAAACGGACATCTATTGTAGTAGTATATCAACTTTAAGCCATCGTTTACAAACATAAATACATACATATGTACAAGATAAATGTTTTTAATAAACATATTAAGGCACACTTCGGCATTAGTAGTACGACTATTGTTGTTGGATTAGTTTCTGTTGTTTATACAATTTGTGGCGGCAAATAACTGCCACTTATAACAGCTTATTCAGATAAACTAAAAAAACTGAAATTGATACTCTAAAGAAATAACGAAAATAAAACTAAAACAATTCTTAAAGCCACATCCCAATCTAAGAACAGTATTGTTCAAAATCTTTGCATCTATTTTGTGACAGTGATAAATTTGAAGAATACATACCCTGCCAGTAGCTTAACTAAATTTTAATGAATTTGAAGGTTATTTTTAATGGGACCAAATTGCTATTTTAACATTGTGGCAACAGTCAATTGTCCAACTCTGCATAACTTTCTAATTAACTCAAAGTTAGTAGCAGGAAAGTCAACTAATAGTTTTCTTCTTTTATAATTTTGGTATAAATTAATTATGTGGGCAATTTCGTGTCAAGTGAACCAACTTAAAAAATCAATTTGGATGAAACTTGCACCAAATATTTACAAAAATATATTTTTTTTTGTAAAGATTAAAGAAATAGGTATTTAAAGTCCTTCCGACAATTTTTGCTAGGACCAATAGGTAAAAAATACACTCAAAAAACCCCTTTATGACCAAAATGTGAAACTTTGATCCCCTCTAACTCCCGCAGTTCTTTAGTCTTTAAGAATCAGTTATTTATGTTGCCAAATACCAAATTTTGGGACATTTATGCATTACATAGTAGTAAAAGTTTAGTCAGCCTGCTAAAGTTAAAGAATAAAATTCATAATAATAGAGAAACAAGAGAAAACATGTCAAAAAAATTCTCTCCAGATAATTTTGGGTCACTTCTGCATTACATGATAGTTAGCTTGTAGTTAGTATTCGGTTAATTACATTGTCAAATTGTGGGATGCACTGCATCAGTCTTTAAAACTTAACTGGAAGTGAATTTTTCGTAGTCGACTATAAAATTGCTGGCAGGGTATATTCAATATTAAATTATCTCTGTTCTGATAGGCCAATATGGTTCTGAAAGTAAAATAATACATTTTTATACCTAACATACAAAAGATGGGGGTATATTGATTTTGTCATTCCGTTTGTAATACATTGAAATATTGATCACAGACCCACAAAAGTATGAATATTTTGGCTCCTTATCAAATTCTAAGACGATCTAAGACGAAAGCACGATTGGATCCGAACGTTAAGAGACAGACGGTTGAAATTTTACGAAATATATAAGGTAAGATTTGTTTGGTATTGAAGTTGGGCAATATCTGACCACATTTTAACTGATCTTACTGTTTTAAAAATTCATTATAGTTATAAAAAAACACGTGGATAAGTTTTATACAAAAAAAATCTTGACCCTAACCGCCATGTAAGGTTCTCTTCAGAAAATGGATTTAACGCTCATTACTTCCATAAAAGAATACGAGTATAGCGATGAAATTTGACTAAAAGGTTCCCTTCAGGAAACAATTTTAATCAAAATCTGTTTTCTAAATTTTATAAGGATCGGTTGATAAGATTCGGCATACTCTTACTTGTTTATTTCTGTTTCGGTTTTAATGTTATATATATTAGGAAATAGGAATTTTATTACACTGCCAAAAAAATTTTATTAGATTTTGAACAATACTGTATGTATGAATGTTTATTCTCTGGAGTAGTAAGAGTTTATTGGATTTCGGTTGTATACTACATAACAAAAGACACACAAACAAAAAGGAACAATTTCATCTCAAACGTTTCTAAACTATTTAACAACACGCATATGTGAATATGAATTGATCCTGTTCTGCCTCGTCCATATACATACATAGTTCTACTCTTGGTGCTTTAAAAATCCATAAAACTAAGGAACGCAACTTTATAAGAGGCAGTGAATTGTTTGTACGAATAGTGTGTCCAAAGAAAACGAAGAAATATTATATAGCTGTCTGCCGTAAAGATTGTTGAAATTCATGTATTTAAGTATAAATTGTTAACGATTTATTGTTAAATATTTGTATAAAGCGGCTAATAAAGAGACAAACCTCAAAGCCAACCATACTAATGGATTTAGTGTTTAGTTTCTATTTTGTCCATTTACTTGTTGGCTATTTATATGGGCACGAAAAAAGTTATAGCATTTTAAACTTAATCATCTAATTTAATTTTTTGAATTATGAGAAATAAGTGTTGTCAATAGAAGATTCCTATTTATATTTGATAAAAATATCTAAATGCGATCACATCACATCTATCTTTGGGTCTTAATCATATTTATTTATAGAATCTTATTATTTTAGAGCCTTTAATAATTTATTAAGAATAAGGGCCTTTAACTTTACACAGTCAAACCCGTTTATAACGATTATAAAGAACTATCGGTTATAAAGAACTATTTTTCAAGTCCCAACATTTTGGTAACTATTTCTATACAAAAACCATCTCTTGTAACAAACTTGATTATAACGAATTCTTGGATAAAAAAAACTACCTTTTCAGTCCCTCAAATACGATTTTATACAACGTTCCTCTATTATAACGAACTTTAAAAATTATGTGGTTAAATGCAAAATTTTTTTTTAATTTGGTGTTTAAAAAAGTTGGGACATTTTTGAATTACTCAGCTATTCCAAATCTATTCGCGTGAAAGTTTTTCAAGAATGTACATCAAAGTTATCGCGGTTTTGAAATGTCTTTTAAAGATTGTCACAAATACATTTCTCAATATTATTAAACAAATGTTTCAGAAATTGATAATACTTAACTAGGGCTACAAATCTGTGTAAATATCTCATTCGTTTCAGGCTCTTCTAAAAGGATATCTTTAGTTACGTTATTATTACTAACGTCATATCTCACTTTTTATTATGTAATATCATTTAAAGATAAACATTTTATATCAATATTTAAAAAAAAATCGTAATAGGTTTAGAAGATAATTAAATTCAAACAGCAAATTCCTAATAAAATGAACATAATTTTATATGAAATGCTAAGCATTTTTGAAACATGTGTCACCGATTTTTAAGTAGGAATTTAAAAAAATACGTTCATGAGATCACCTCTTTATATAATATTATGTGTGTGCCTCGCAAAAAGTGGTATTTTCAAAAGATTCACGTTTTCTCTAGCAGTATTTACCGCCCTCCTGTGTACAACGAAAAAATCTTACTGGTCCCCCGCAGTTCGTTATAAACAAGTTTGACTGTGCAACCTTTTTATACTACATACATAATATGTACTACACACAATAATTTGATTGAGCTTTCATGTTCGGACCATATATCACACCAGCAGGCTTGTACAATATTAGTTTTTTGAAATTTTGTGTGGTAAAGGTCGTTGCGAATAATACAAATATTTGCAAAGAACTGACATATTTTGTTTACCGAATGCGTGAAACCGATCTTTAGGCATATAACAATTATCCCCAAAATATTTTTCTTTTAGATTTCATAGACAAACTATGATTATTGCTCAAGAAATTGTATTTGAATGAGCAAATTTCCCCATACACAGTACAAGCATGCTGGTACAATCACAATCGCACCACAACTCCATACACGTTCAATCGGCTTGTACAATCACTTGATTGTGCCAGCATGCTGGTGTTGTGTATGGGCCACTTTACATACATATGTATGTGGAGATATGTAAATATTAAACTCAAATATGACGTATGTATGTATATTAACTTCATAATATTCTTATTCTTAATATTTATTCATTATTTGAAAGTGTAGTAAACAAAAAAACTAACTGTTAACCTTTGTTGTTAATTGTGGTTACCATTCATGTTCATGGCCTCCACTTCCACCTTCGCTACTTTTCTTTTCCGATTTTTTCCATTTCTTCTTCTCGCCCTCACCTTTCTTCTTACCACTTTCATGTTCATTACCCCATTTTTTCTTTTCCTCGTGTTTCTTTTTGTGGCCCTTATGACCTTTCTTTTTATGGCCCTTGTGACCATGATCCTTTTTACCGTATTTTTCTTCATGTTCGGACTTCTTTTTAGCAGCTTTTTTATACTTATTGCCTTTTTGGTGCTTTTTACCTTCTTCGAATTTACCGTGTTTTTCTTCTTCTCCTTCAGCATGCTTTTCGTCATAGTATTTTTTCTCCTTTTTGTCTTCGTCTAATTTGTGAACATTATGTTTACCTTTGATGGAGTGACCTTTTTTATATGAACCATGATCTTCGAACTCGTGACCTTTTTCTCCCTTCTCTCCTTTCTTGTGTTTCTTGTGATGTTCGGAACCTTTTTTATGTTTCTCTTCATGACCATGTTCCTCCTCCTCTTCACCCTTTTTGCCTTCTTTTTCGTGATGCCCTTTTTCCCCTTTAGCATGTTCCTCTTCTTCTTTGTGATGTTTCTTGCTCTTTTCCCCTTTTTCAGCTTTATGCTCACTTTCTTTTTCTTCGCTGGACTCTGACTCGTAGCTTTCTTCCTTTTCCTCTTCTTCGTGTTTCTTAGATTCGGCTACAATCAGATCGCCTTCTCCATAAGATTGCACAGCATATGGTTGGGCTATTATATCTTCGATATTGTGTTGATTAATTATTGGTTGTACCGAGATGGCTGCGGCAGTAGATTGTACAGGATTCCGTATCAAGAATAATATCAAAATACAGCTCCACATCAGTGCTAAGTGCACCATGTTTCCGTTTTTTGGAATTTATTACAAGTTTATATTGACTCTTGTTGAAGACAATTGATAAGGTATGATTTATTTTTAACTATTTAAAGCCTTTTTATGGAAAATTTACCCAAACGGTTTCTTGGATATAGTTGATTGATTATGTGACTTGATTTTTATTTAAATTTGTCAATTTTTTAATTTGTTTCGATTTTTGTGGTTGGTAAACGAAATAATGACAATAATTGCGGAAAACGATGAATGGACAAGTATTTTGTGGTAAGTATTTTCCAGAGATGGAAAAACGAATAAGATTATATTCACTTTACGTTATATTAAATAACCACCCAAGCAAAAATTTTGTAAAATTTGCTAACAACTTACCAAAGGAAATACTAAGTATTTAACTTTTATTTCACTTTTATTTTATTTAAACTTAAAATCCTATGTATATACAAGAGTAGGTGTAGAAGAGTTCCATCACATCTACCTAAGAATTGTGACAACTAAAATTTTAATTATTTTTTTACAAAGTATTGCACAATTAGTCAATTTTTTTATTATACATGCAGTAAATAAAATTTCGCTAAATAAAAATAAAATCGCTAAATAATTTGTAATTTATACTCAAGGTTCACGGAACAAAAACTAATCTCGCTTAAAATGAAAACCAACTGTTGCAATGTATGTACGCGCAGCTAGAAGTCAAACTCTATGGCAGCCACACAGATGTTTAGCGGCAAGATCGGTGTGAAAAAGTGGTTGCTCTCAATGAAAGGTTCCTTCTTGCAGAATTATACACGTTCATCGAAATACTGTTCACACTTGTTGTTGAAAATAAGCGCTCATACGAATCAACAACATGCCTTTCTGTTGGTTGTTAGGCCGTCTGGCAGACGCGAATGGAACAACTGCAAATCTCATCATCATGCACCTGTGAAAGAAAATCTTTTACAACATTAACTTGGTCTGTTTATATTTTGTTGATGTTATTTTCTTTAATTTTGCTTTTAAGTTGTAGTAGTAGTAGTACTTTTTTAATTTATTCTTTTTTTTTCTATTTATTTATTTTCTTTCATCTCTTTATTTTTTTTAATTTCGAATAGAATCTTGTTTTAAAACTTTCATGCATTAATTTGCAACAAATTGTATATGGGTTTATTTCTATACATGTATTTGATGTATTGCTGAATAAAAAAAGAATAATTCTCTAAATACCGTAATAATGTTTGTAATGTATAATTTTGTTGGTGCTTTACTTTGTGTGGTTGCAAATCCAAGAATCCCATAGAAAAAAAGGTCAGTTTTTGTTGAGATCATACTTACAACAGCTACAAAAAAACAATACAAATCAGATGGAGACAACTTTACAAATGACATTTGGATATAGACAAAACATGGAAAAAGATAACTCAAAGAAAGAATGCACCACCACTACTTATACAATTACTACTGTAACTTCTAGAATATTTTCATGTCATAATTTCAGTCGTACCTAACACATTCTTAGTTACTTCGGTATGCTCTTTATCTGTAAATAATAAGTGTGTAAATATTTTTAAAGCAATTTTCTACTTTAAGTATTAAAAATATTGCACAGTGGAAATATTCTGGTTATTTAGTTTTGTTTTGGAGTTGAATGCTACCAAAAAATACTTCTAATTAAGATTGCTCTTAATGTTATCTCTGTATGACCTTTTTATAATTTCGCAATTAAAGCGATTTTTCAATATTTAGAAAATAGTTTGTATAAACTAAAATGTTTCCAAATTTTGTTATATCATACCTTTTTAGCTAAGTTTAAGTTGGTAAAATCCAGGGTTTAGTTTTTACAAATTCGCCTGTTGCAATTGAGATCACCCAACTATTTTTGGTCAACGAACTAACCAAGCAAAAGTAAACGAAACTATCTTACAGAATTACTTATTATAACCATATTTTATGGCTGTATTTGGATTCCTCCGTACATAAATGTGTACATATTTACCCAAGAAGTTATGCAAACACTAAATAAATATACATATTTATTTGTAGATGCTTTCCAATGCCTTAACAACTAACATCAAACATTCAGAAGGATTTATGGAAAATTTGTTTAAACTTAATGAAGCTTAACAAATGTAAAAGAACGTGAAACAATTTCACCAGCAAACTAATAATATTGATGCTCATGTACTTGCTAATATGTATTGAGTTTAATCTTTGCATTTAATGCAAAAATAACGTCTTATTGTGTAGCGAATTATTTTTATGAAAACTAACAGTTTTCTATGTAAAATGTTAATGTTCTTTTGTATTTTCAGACAAATAAAAAAACTAAGTCACTAGAGAAAATTCAAAATTAAAATATCAATCAATATTTACGTTTTCTTCTTCTTTACGTCACTCCGAGTGCGGGCATATAATTTCAATCGCAATTTTTGTAGTCGTATGATGCATGTATTTCATTGGCATACATCAAATGTGTCCCTGAATTGTTAAAGAAGCAAAAAATATAAATACACCACGATTTCCGTTATAAGAATACTTTGAACTTATTAATAATTCAATTGATTTTTAATTGAATTCAACCTTTTTGTATGTTTTGAATTGCTGTTCGCTTTATGGTGATTTCACTTTTTAAAAACGAACGTGTAAAACATGTAACAATTGTTTCTGTAAAGGAAATTTACTTCATGAGTTCTTATACCTTGAAGAAGTTGTCTTAAATGATATGTACATATACATACATACAAATAAATAAATTCAGTATACAAATACATCTAGGTATTTGTGGACTGTAGGATATGATTACCCTATTATTTAGTAGGGTATACAATCAATGTACCATATTTCAAATTGCGAATAAACCAAATAATTCCTTTCAATTAACCGATTTATCTAAATGTTCATATTTTACAATAAAATATCATAAAAATTGAAGATCCATGTAATAAATTTGATCTTTTTATTAATAGTTAGTTTATTTACACCAAAGCAAAAACCATTTGGTTTTTGAAATACTAAATTTAAAAAAAAGCCAACCGTTTTATACCCTACACCTTTGTGAGAAGGGAATACATAAGTTTGTCATTCCGTTTGTAATTTCTATAATATAAATTTCCGACCGTATAAAGTATATATATTCTGGATCCTTATAGAAAGCGGAGTCGATTTAGCCATGTCTGTCCGTCTGTGTGTCTGTTGAAATCAGTTTTTAGAAGACCCCAAATATCTGCGAGATCCGAATCTTCAATAATTCTGTCAGCAAAATCGGTCCATAAATAACGGAGATATGAGCAAAAATCCAATACAACCACTAGAAATTTAATAAAAAATTTAGATTTTTCGTCGGATTAAGTAAAAAGGTATATTTTCGTTGTACAAAGGGTACTCTTTGAATTTTCTATAATATTGAACCTAGAAACATGAAATTAGGTATGTGGAGCCCGGATTAGTTAGTTAGTTTGAAAGGAAGATGTATATACATCAAAGCCGAAGAAATACACCTAGGCCTCTATCGCACATGTTGTGCGCTCCTTAACCAGTGCCTTAGGTGGGAATCGAACCCACCACCTCCGGTCTACCAGACTACAACACTAACCACTAACCTACCGGAGGCCACGAGCCCGGATTAGGTGAGAACATATAAAAGGAGACTTTTTGGTACTTTTTCGTTTGACAAAAGGTACTTTTTGAATTTTTTATTATATTGAACCTAGAAACAGGAAATTATGTATGTACATATGTGGAGCCCGGATTAGGCGAGAACACATAAAAGGGGACTTTTTGGTGCTTTTTCGTTCGACAAAAGGTACGTTTTGAATTTTCTATTATATTGAATTTAGAAACATGGAGTAAGGTATGTAGTTCCCGGATTATGTGAGAATCTATAAAAAGGTACTTTTTGAATTTTCTATAATATTGAACCTAGAATCATAAAATTAAGTATGTAGAGCGGATTAAGTAAGAACACATGAAAGGGGACTGTTTGATACTTTTTCGTTCGACAAAAGGTACTTTTTGAATTTTCTATAATATTGAACGTAGAAACATGAAAATATGTATGTGGAGCCCGGATCAAGTGAGAACATTTTTATGGTACTTATTTTGGTACTTATTCGTTCTTCTACTTTTTGTACTTTGGTACTTTTTGAATTTTCTATAATATTAAACTTAGACACACGAAATTATGCATGTAAAGCCCTATTGTCTATCCAAGCTATGAAAGAAGACTTTTTGTTACATTTTTGTTGTACAAAAGGTACTTTTTGAATTTTCTAAAATTATACCTAGAAACGTGAAACGTAGAGCCCGGATTATGTGAGAACCCAAAAATGGGATTTTTTTGTACTTTTTCGTACATTTTAAAACTAACTGGAGATAAATTTTAGTCCAATCGGATAACGGGAATCGATTGATAAGTGTAAAATTGGGTAAATAATGAGACTTTTTCACATCTTATCTTCGGCGTCATGAAATAACTCCCCAAAACAAAAATTTGTTCAGAAAGCCAAAACAACGAAATTTGGGGATTTAATTCGTTTTTTTGGGGCATTAATTCACATTTAAAATGGGGAGTTATTTCATATAAATCCCTAAAAATATTTTTGGGGAGTTATTTCATTTTATTACTTTTATCACACGAAATAAAAAATATATGTATGATAGCCGGCCTTGTTGGACATACCATAGAATAGAAAGTCCTTGAGCCCGGCCGCTGGCCGGCTATTAGAGGAATCTTTGTTAAGAGAATACACTCAAATGTATTAAACTTTGAAGCCCCACTCGAAAGTATGAGCGACCAACTTTTTTTTTTTGAAATATCACTAAAACCGACTTCTTCCATAATTTGTTATTTTTAAATGGGAACTTATATCATTTTAAAATTAGGGATTTGTTTCATATGAAATAAATCCCCAAAAATCGTTAGGTCTTTTTTTCATTTTTAAATTGGGGAATTATTTCATAATGAAAAAAGTCCCAAAATTTGAGGACTTATTTCATTTTTGTTTTGGGGAGTTATTTTATGACGCCCTTATCTTCTACAGAAAATTGTCTATCCAAAGAGGTAAAAACAATTCATATCCAAAAACAATGTTATTGACAATTTTCCAATCCATATATTAAAAAAATTTTGAAGAAATAAAAAAGTCCTTTAGGTAAATAATTTTACACTTTTCAAACGATTTTCGGCACGGGTTCTCCGTTATGGAGTGATGGTGGCGGAGTTGTTAATGCCTTAATCTTTATTTTAATTTTTGATTTTCCTTCATGGTTGAGTGTGTTGGAGTTTACTTTAAAACGTGCTGAACTTATCACAGTAGGTCTTTGTGGCCATTGAAATAAGTCTTGTCAATTAAAAATGGATCCGAGTTTCGGACACCAATTACGTCCCCTAAGTGCTGTTGCCGAATCAACAGAAGCCATCTCAGTAATGTGGTTGGGAGACTTTAAGAGGTCCAGGAATGCACTGGGGTGAGTCTTTAGACGATGAGAATTTTTTTTAGGGACAGAGGATTCCTCATAACATCAATAAGGTGTTTTACCTGATGTTGGATCCGCCCCATCTATCGACTCTAACCATTGATTGCTTTTACCTTTGTCGGGGTTAGGTTGAGCTTGACTTTTGACACCAGTCATTCTCCAGCGGGACTACTATGGTAAGAGATTAGATAGCTCGAGTACTTGAGCAAAGTGTACGTATACTGGACCGGAAATTCCATATACTTACGTTAATTGCCACCTGCGTATAAGAAGCACAATGGGGCGGTGGTGAGTCGTTACAAAAGCTCACCCAGGTCCCACGTCGTATGAACTATACGTGATTCTCGGGACAAGGGCGATGCCTACTGAAAATTGTTGAAATCGGTCTATTATTTCACCAAGCCCCATTAAACCTGACCTTCCGATTTGTGGTTTCGAACTCATAACTGTCTCTCCAAAAAATTGGCATAACAAAGTTTTATATAGGCATAAATGACCATGCCGATTTTTGCAATGATCGGCCGTCGTTTGGCCCTAGCCCCCATACAAACCCCCTTTAAAAAATATTTTAAACGTCCAAAAATTGACTTATAATCATAAAAATACATCCATCCACGCAATTTGTTATGGATCGGCCCAATTTGACCCTAACTCCTCTTTTAGAAATTTTGTTTTTCATCAATAAATTGCTTAAACACTTCGGAATTAAAGTAAAAATGTATCATATCATATGCCAGAATATACTTGTTTATAACTTAAAGAGATGTATTCACAATACTACATGTAATTCAGATTCAGATTGTTTATAACATAAAGAGATGTATTCACAATACTACAGGTAATTCAGGGTCTCATTTTATAAAACGAAACGACAAACGTTTAAAAAAATTTGTATGGAAAAAATTCAAATTTTCATAAATTTCCCAGTATTCTTCATACAAATTTTTTACGTTAACGAAAGTTTCGTTTTATAAAATGCGGGGGTCAGATGTAGTTAAGTATAGCAAAGACACAACCCAAAACAGTGGATGCAGGAACCATTTAACTGTTGAATTTCACAACAGATGACGCACCAACACGACAAAGTAGTTATTATTAGCAGTGTTGCCAGAAAAGTCCCAAAAATCGCAATTTTTAAAAAAATCGAGTAAAATAGTATATATCATGATACAACCATTGTTTTATTATGGTATATATTAATTTGTTGTTTTTGCTACACACTTGTGGAAAGAAAATGCCTGAAACGATATTGTTATATACATATGTACATACCTTGTTGAAAATAAAGTTTTCTCTAGAAGATCGAATCGAAGCGACCACTGGTTCCGTTATCCGATTGGTCTAAAATTTTACACATGTAAGTTTTAGACACTAATAAATAAAATACGTTTAATCATTAAACTTTAATGTACATAAGGCTTTTATTGAAAATAAAATGTCTTTCATAAACATGTAAGGTTACTTCAAAAATGCTTTACGGCAATTATTACCCATCCTCGTCGCTGCTATATTTTTCATCATCACTTTGTTCATAACCATAGATACAACGTATATTTGACTCCTTCATTCGCTGCTCACGAATACTTAAACATGTCATTTGCAATGCTGCAAAAGAATAGCGGTGATACGAGTAATATTCTGGATTTTTATAAAATGCTCTTTTGTCGGCTCCTGGTCCCAACGTCTCATACTTTGAACTAAATCGACGAAAAACAGATGGCGGTATAAAATCTGGTGTCTCTATGGCTTCATGTTTCATACAAGAAGGATTGTAGTATTCTGGGAGATCTTTAGGTGGATGAGGAGTGTTATAACTTTTATTTTTTTCGATATCGCTCTTACTGGAACATAATGAGAGATTTATGTATATTTTGTGAGGATACATGGATCTTGGGTATAATTTCTTCCATAAGTTTGAAAAATAGTACGTTTGATGAATGGCAAATGTAACTGCAGACATTTAAGGATTTTTTCGATATTTTTGAAATGTATTAAAAAAACTATATTATTTTTTAATAACAAATAAACGTAGAAGCATATTTACATACATTTCATAGCCGCTTTGTTAAATTTAGTTTTGTATTCTTTAACAAGTTTTTGTATCCCAAAATAAAAACAAAATGTATAATGGATAAAAGACAATCATCAAACTAATGGAAGAGTTTTGAATAAAGTGTAAAAAATTTCATATTAATTTCAAAACTGAAATATAATTTCTTCCCTTACTGAAAACTGTAAAACTCACCCTTAATATTTTGCTGGTTAAAGAAGTTATTAATTGGAATAGGATATATTAGAGAATAATGTTCTTTGTTATATTTAAAATTTATTACAATATGCCAATTTTTAGTGGTTCAAAGCTTTCTTGGCACTTCTGCCAAGGCAACGATTTGAAGCAGGAATTTTATAATTTGAAGTCGTGGTTTTATTTTCCATTAGTCAAAATCTTCTTTAAATGAGATTTCAACCATACCGAAATCTATACCATTAACATAAAGCCTTTATTGATTTTGATTGACAATCATCAGCAAATTGGAAATAATCGCTTGTACAATTTCTAATTTTATTTATCTATTTAGGAACATTTTATTTAAAACTGAAAATCCATTCGATAAACTCACCTTCGAGAGAGTGTCCAAAAAATATCGATTTTGTTCAGATGGATCTTATTTTGTTTATTAGTGTCTAAATTAAGTGGTATTAAATTTTAGTCCAATCGGATAACGGAAACCTGTGGCGGAAATTGATTGAAAAGTGTAAAATTGGGTAAAGTGTAAAATTGGGTAAATAGGACCTTTTCTGATTTCTTCAAAAGTTGTGCCACTAAAATTATATTTTCTTAACTTTTCGACCAAATCTTATCTTCTGGAGAAAATTGTATAAAAATTGAGCTATAAAACATTTATATCAATGGATAAGTTGAGTCAAGTGACCCAACTCAAAACATATAAAACATATCTTTTCTTATTTTAACCTTCTGACTTCCTTTGTTTAGTCTTGTCTTTGGACGATCAATATATGTATCAATATATAGGTTTTTAATTAGTTGATAAACAGAGATACTGCATTTATTTACGAATGCGAAAGGGACTGTCAAAAACCTAACTGGTGTTTTAAACTATTGGATTTTATCTATTTTACAAATTTTCATAAATTTCCAATAAAATTTTATTGGAAATTAAAATAAATCTTTTACAAGGAAACATGTTTTCATCATTCGAATAACATTTTAGAGATTATTGGCAAAAAATTATATCCTAAACTTCTATGTATTTCGATTGAAAGTTTTTACTATTTATTCGACTGCAAATTTCTTTTAATTTTGAAACAAAATTTTCTCAATTTAATCTTTAACCAGAAACCCTTTTAAATGTTTTGAACATTTATTCTTTGGTTTTTATTAATATTTACAACTGCTTTATTTTTCTCTTTTATTTATAAGCTTTTTTTAATTAATTTGAAAACTTTTTTTATTTTCTTAACTTTTTTCCTTACAAAGATCAACAATTGATTTTCTCCTCATTTCCTGTACTACATTTGAAAACTTTTGCTTATTTGAACTAATTTCATTTCTTTATTTTCTTAACTAAACTTGTAAAAGCTTCTCTTTTCTCATTAACATTGCCTTCGCAACTACTTTTTTCTACTTTCCAACCAACTAACTAACCAATGGACTTAAAACACTCCCCCAACCGCACTCCAATACACACTTATTAACAACGAATGGCCAAACTAAAGCAACATACCGACTGGCATAACATTTTATCTTTTTCAAGCAATTTTACCACACTTTTTTACTAATTTACAAGTTACTTTTTAACAATATTTTTACACAGAAATATTACCAAACACTACAATTTTATATTCATGCAAAAATATTTATACAATTTATTAACTATTAACCGGATTTATTTATTAATTAAACGACATCTAATTACCAAACAACCGAACACTTGCGAAATTTCTAGAAAACTAAAAGAAAAAATGCAAATCATGATATTGTTGTTGCGGTCAACAATATCATGATGTGTATTAATTGTATGCAAATATGTATGTAAAGTGTTTGTTGTTATTTTATTTTGTTGAAGAGAAGGGGAGAATATATTAAGAATAAGATATTAAAGAGGAGATTTTTAGTGATGGTCAACAAATGGGAAATAATAGTAATATTTTAATAAAGGGATAATGACAGGGTTGGGAATTTGTTTTTTGTGGTATTTATTAGAGAATAATATATATAAGCTTAAATTGATATCATTTTGAACGTATTTTTTCCGAAATGAAAAGTTGGAGTATATCTTTTGCCTATTTCCATTACCATCTATTTTTATGAATCTAAAACAAAAACGTTTTTAGGTTATTCCTAGAGATCGAAACCTTTCGATTTTTTGTAAAATGTTTGCTGCAATATTTTACAATTGAAACTCTTTAGAATGGAAGAAATATCGAAAAGTCCATACAACGTGAATGTCGTGCAAGGCTTCTCACTTGAAAATTGATACCGATATAGAATGTCCTATGAATAAGGAACTTAACAAAAACTTAACAAAACTAAATATTTGTTATTATTTTTAAATATAATATTCTCAATTACCTGTTCAAAATTATGCAACAATTTATATTAACCAAATTGCCCTTTTCACGAAATCCTTCAACACATCGCAGGTACGGTAAAACTATGAGAGGTATTGAGTCCATTCTTTTTATGTTTAATTCTTATATATATATATCCCTTATAAAATCCAGTATAGAAAAATGTCATTTTTTAAATCTATTAACAAAAATATTTTAAGTTTGACCACAGACTAAAACGATTAAGCATTATCCAATTTGAACAACAATTCGTACTAACACATTTATGGATCTTGTAAAGGTAAGCATTATATTTTTCTGTAAATTTTTTCAAAACTAAAAAAAATTTCTTATATTTACTTTTATGTGTCAGCAGAACCACACAATTTTCTGGGGAAATTTTAATAACTCAAACATTTTTTAACCAATTTTAAGTTATTCTATCTTTTTGGAAACACAATTTGGTATACCTTACAATTTTGCTATAAACTATTGAAAAATTAATACATACTTAATACATAATACGTGGGCTCTTACCCTCAAAATAATTTGATTATTAGAAGTTTATCCGAGAGAAAAACTTATTTTCGAGCCACCCCTAACATACATACATATGTACAATATAAATTAATTGTATATCGTTACCTAAAACGCAAACGGTCCTATTCAAGATAATTTTATCACGTATGCCAAATTTCAATAGGACATAGCCTATGGACAAGGTTGAAAGCTGTCTATGATTTCATCTAGGTCCGAAAAAAGGGAATCCCCCGTGAAATATAATTGTATCTCGAAAAAAGCACAACTAAGTTTTAAAGTATTTTATAAGGACTGATGATCCTGCCATATTTCGAAATGGACAAGATCTCATTTGACCCCAGCTCTCAAACAAAGTCCTTTCCCAAAATGACTCGAATATCAATTCACTTATAAACAATAATATCGCTATAAAATTCAGCATTAATAAATTTAATGTATACAAATAAATCCACCAAATTTTATGGCGATCAGTTCTCGTTGATAAATGTATACGGAAAGATGAGCTAACGGTAAGATCTCCTTATCCATTATGGGTAAGTAACCTTTAATTAAAGTACACTTATAATAGCCGATAACAAATTATCTACACTACTTATAAAATCCTAACTTTAGTTATTGGCAAGTTACATATAATAATGGCCTTTAAAGTTATTAAATCTGAATGATTTTGTGAATGTTCTTATTATACCCTACACCACTTTAGTGGGGAGGGTATATTGGATTTGTGCTGATGTTTGTAACATACAAAAATATTCGTCCTAGACCCACCTTAAAGTATACCAATCGGCTTAGAATCGTTTTCTGAGACGATTAAGCTATGTCGATTAAGCTTCCCGGCTCTATCAATAGCAAAACAAAAGGAACAACAACAACGTTAAACGAAATAAAACACACAAAAAAAAAAATACACAACGCAATGAAATCAACAGGCATCCAAACATATGAAACAAATACACAGAAAAACAAAAACAAAATACACAACGCGATGAAACAAACAGACATCCAAACATACGAAACAAAATACACAAAAAAAAACTACAAATACCCAACCCACTCACTCTAAAATATTCTCTCCCAATACCCGACACAATAATTTACAACAAACACATTCTACAATTTAGTACAAATCAAATAAAGACAGCAGCAGCAACAACAACAATAGAATCATTACTTGCATTTTTCTTTTAGTTTTCTAGAAATTTCGCAAGTGTTCGGTTGTTCGGTGATTAGTGGTCGTTTAATTAAATAAAAAATTCGGTTAAAAGTTTATAAATTATAAATATTTTTGCATAAATATAAAATTTAAATGTTTGGTGATATGTCTGCGTAAAAATATTGTTAAAAAGAAACTTGTAAATTAGTAAAAAAAGTGTGGCAAAATTGTTTGGAAAAAGACAAAATGTTGTGCCAGTCGGTGTGTTGCTTTAGTTTGGCTATTCGTTGTTAATAAAGTGTGCATGTGCGTGGAGTGTGTTAAGTGCAACAGATGGTAATGATGGAAGTGAGTAAAGGTTTGTGTGAAGCAAAGAAGGGTTAAAGAAGAGGAAAAAAGCTTTTACAAGTGTAGTAAAGGAAATAAGGAAATAAGGAAAAAAAAAAGAAAGTTTAATAAGGAATATGCTTTCAAATGTAGTGAAGGAAATAAAATGTATGTAGATCTATACAAGAAAATAAACAAACAAATATTCCTTATATTAAATAAGTTAAAATAAATAAAAGAGCATATTAAAAAGCTAAGAAAAAATAGAAAATAAATATAAAAATATGTATATAAATATAAATAATCTGTAAATGGGAAATAATATTGTGAAAATAAATGTAAGAGCAAATTGAAAATTTCTAAAGAAAGAGCAATTGCAGTTGTTTGCGGAAAAGAAACAAGCGTTAAATAAGGTGAGTGGTTATTTTATTTATAAAGCTTTTTAGAAG